TTACTACAAGCTTTCATCTGTTCCTACAGACATCTTCAGGTATAGAATAGATGTTGTTCTTGTTTTTTCTCTTAGTAATAAGAGGACAACGAAAATATATGTATTGTTGTATCCGAAAATTCTATTGAAAATGAGTTATTGTTTTTGGAGCGCGCCAGTAGCAACGCTGAGTTTGATTTTAAATTTTTAAAGGTTGTGCGTTCATATAAATATAGTGATGAACAAATTTTTTACTGGTACATTTTCTGTCAAAGTGGCATGAACTATATTGTTCAATAATTACAGTAATGTCGCACTTATTATCCAAAAGTCGCACTTGGATCAGTTATTTAAATTACGATAAACGTGCAATCAATTTACAAATTCATGAATTATTCACACAAATATTTATCACTATTTAAATAGTTCATAATAATAGTAATTTCCTCTTATATATATTTTAAGACATTTTTAATTTTATACAATCTTTTTATAGATACAAAAATTTAAGTAAACGCTCTGTTTATAATAAACAGTATGAAATAACATTTACCGGCCCGAATGTCCGGGAAATTTTCATAGAGCATATTCGTTCTCCGACAGGAATTGAACCTGTATCTTATAAGGAACCGTCGTTTAGTTTGACAGGCTCTTAACCGATCGAGCCACGGAGAATCTTTCGATTAACAGTGTCGAATCCTGTCGGAGAACGAACATTTTCTATGAAAATTTCTCGGACATTCAGGCCGGTATATGTTGTTTAATACTGTTTATTATAAACAGAGCATTTACTTAAATTTTTGTATCTATAAAAAGATTGTGTAATCATAAAGGTGTCTTAAAAATAATTGTCAAACTTTGTCCATTTCAAAATATATCTATATATATATATATGTATGTGTGTGTGTGTGTGTGTGTGTGTGTGTGTGTGTGCAATATATTTCATATATTATTATTTATATATTATATGCGCGGTACTTATTAGAAAGCGCTCAATATCAGAGATAGAGCTAACCTATTTGTTTGGATTGATGTGAGTTTGTGAAACTGGGTTTCAGGATTTTGCGATCGTCAAAGTGATTAATTTCTTTTTTTATAACATATATACAGAGAGCGAGCGAGAGTGGTCGTGGGGTGGAGAAAGAGCGGAGAAGAAAGGCCCGTACACCCATTAAGGTACATTGGCACACATACACACGCGCTCGCCTAACATCATTGAAATTTAACAATCAAATGCGTATGTATGTAGACAACAGCACACATATACATATATATGTCAAGTCGCATACTGTCCGCATATGTTTATGTTTGTGTGAGCTCCGGTGGGCGAGGGCGTGTGTATGTATGCCTGCATACCTCAATGGGTGTACGGGTATGCATGTATGTTTGCGTTAGCACGAGTGACATCACGACGGCAATTTTTCCCTCCCACTTCCATAAAAAAACAATGAAACAGACATAAATCCAACATTTTTAAAAACAACTGCACAAATCATTTGATTATTGTGATGAAGGCGTTATGCAGAACCAACCACACACACACACACACACACACACACACATATATATATATATATAATTATTTTTGAAAAAAATATGTTTCCTCCGCTACATAAGAGTTATAATTTAGGCTCTACTTTTTTATAGAGAACTGTTTTTTAAAAATAAAAATATCAAAGAACTTCGGATTATTTACCTAACGAGTTCTTTCCTATCCTATTTTCTATATTTTCTCTCTCTCTCTCTCACACACACACACACACACACACACACACACATATATATATATATATATATATATATATATATATATATATATATATATATATATATATATATATATATGAAAAAAGACAAGAGGAAAAACTCTTCTTAACCTCAGAGGACGAAATGCGTCGGCTAAGAATATGTTTTCCTCTTGTATCTTTTCATATTGTTCCCTTATAGATACACACTATCTGTGAATTTACACACACACAGGCGCGCATATATATATATATATATATATATATATATATATATATATATATATATATATATATATATATGGTGGCAATCGTTTGGAAAAACCTTGAGTATGTTGGCTTGTAGTAGAACAAACTTGTACCCAAGGAAAAAATGATTAGTTCAAGCTATATATTCTGTTCCATTTTTACCTTTTTGGCCGGAATTTCCCTGACGATCCGTTTAGGTGAAACCTAGGTAGCTTTGTCTGGCTCTTTACGTTTATTATTATTATTATTATTATTATTATTATTATTATTATTATTATTATTATTATTAAGTATTGTCTATTGTCATGTTTGGGCACGTGGCCGAGTGGTTAGAACGTTTGCATTCTATACATGAGATCCGTGTTCGGTTTGTCAAGAAGAAACTGTTCAGATGTTATAGGACTGGAGGCGTCAGCGTGCACCTTTGGGAAGTGTCTGAAAACCATGGCACGGGTTTACCCAAGCCTCATGTGTGAAAGTAGGTAGACAGAACGCTTGGATGCCGTCGATAGCTGGGCTTAAGCGTGCTGGCCTTGTTCAGATTGTTGATCACACTAGATACCACGCTCTTTTCCAGAAACTCTAAGGTCTGTTCAGCATAGTTGCAGTATAAACCACAGATGGACTCTGTAGGTGTTGAATAAACACAAATGAGCCGCCCTAATAGATAGTTATCCTCGAATACGAGTGGCCATCTGTATATTATATTTCGGCAGCAATCACTCTTTCCTACATGTTTCATTTAAGACATTTGACAGACTACTGCAATTAAGCTTTTATACCATCTTTCTACGTTAAGTGGCGCCAAAATGCTTTGGTTTGCATGTGTAGTCTTGAGGATCTGGAATAGTTCATGAATTGATGTGATTCAAGAATTGGTAGCTAGATATTGGGTAATGATATCGTTAAGGAATTTTGACAATTGATAAATCGGTGTTGAGATGTATGAAATGATAGGTAGTAATGGATATCCTGTTTTATGCATTTTAACGTTTCCGTATAGATATCCTGGTTGCTAATCTCCTATGATTTTGTTGATTTTCAACGAACATGTGACGTCCTTTATATTGGACATACCACAACATGCCTATCGAGAAGACTCACCTTACACCATAGTTCAATTAGGATATATTTACACATACACAGACGCCTAACAAACGCCATCCGCAACTTACGCAAATACAAGGATAATAGACTTATCCACATATAAAAAAAAGACTAAAAATAATGGCATGACTAATAATAAGAAGGGAAAGGTCAACAATCAATAATATCAACTATTAATACGGCCACAATGTACCGACCGTGTTTGGAAAATGAAACATTCCTATAACTTTAGATACATAGATAAAAAAAAATCTATATATCCAGTTAAAATTAAAAAAAATATATAAAAATCATCATCATCATTCTAAAAAAATAGCCGGAAGCGATAGTATATGCAGAAATTTTGGACAATGTTTACTCATTTATATTCAGAAAAGTGTTGTAAACCACACGTGGACACTGTAGCTGTTGAATAAACACAAATGAGACGCCCTAGTAGATAGTTATCCTCGAATACGAGTGGCCAGCTATATATTATATTTCGGCAGCAATCACTCTTTTCTACGTGTTTCGTTAAAGACATTTGACAGGGTACTGCAATTAAGCTTTTACTTCCATTTTTCTATGTTTATTGGCGCCAAAATGCTATGGTTTGGTTGTGTAGTTTGAAGATAAGAAGCAGTTTGAACGGACGATAATGGGTATGTCTCCATTCACATACAGTAGTAAATACTGTATGATGGTACTGTACTGCTGTACTGTACTGATGCGGCATTCACCCTGGGCGGATTGAGCCGGCTTCTTCCTGTTATGAGAAGAAGATTATTGGGATAAATTACAGAAGTAGGGTACCCAGGCCTACTCGGATAACGTTCTTGCTTGCCGCGGGATTCCCACAAACGCAGAGACAGGAACGACCAGAATCCGCCGGTTACCGATGCAGACGCTCCTTGGATTTTCACCAGAGCCCTTGTTAGCCGGCGTGTGTGTCAGACCTGTCCGCCTTGGGTGGCCCTACCAGGAACGAAGTTCCGGCGGCATAGCTCTGACACTACCGTTTACACCCCCCACCGACTGTGAGGTAAGGGTTGGACTTTGGGGGCTTACAGTACCAGGTGTTCCCAAGCGGTCCCCCATCTAAGTACTGACCTGGCTCTACGATGCTTAACTTCGGTGATCGAACGAGAATCGGTATTTCAGCGTGATTTGACCGTAAGCATATGATGGTCTGGCGTTGGAGATTCATTGTGAAATTCACTTGAATGGCGAATCTTATATGTTTTGTTCTTGTTCTAAGTATTATCATTCATTACCAACCTTCGTGCGATTATTCTATTCAGTGTGATGAAAAAATCCGTCTTCGAGCGGCTGAAGATTTTCGTATATTCGGATATACGAAATAGTTGAATAAGATTGGCGGAACACATTCAGAGAGATGGAATTTTTTTATCGCGAAATTTCACGAACCGATCTTTAATAACCAGTAGGAAGTTAAGACCATTGCATTGTGCAAATCTCAAAAGAAAAAAAAAACTACTGACATTGAAATCAATTTTGGAAGCATAAGCGTTTACCTGCGAACACAAGAATGAGTCGAACACTTCAAATCCGGCAACAAAATTAAAGCTCAGAATCAGGTATGGAGGGAAAAATATATTAAATCCTACCTTGCAAGATAGGTGGGATGTTGTCGAGATACAGTCTTGTTTGTGTAAAGGCGAACTGGGTTTTGAATTCAACACTGGAAATTGGCATATTTTCTGAGTGCAAAGTAAAGTTACTAGAGCTCACTAGGAAGATATATCAAATGAGGAATATACCTCGGTTGATATTTATATGTAGTTTTACAAGTATTTAAAACATGGAAAGACAATAAAATTAACGACATTCCTTTTTCAGTCAGCTGTAACAAAGATGTTTTGACATACAAATATTTCTCTGAAGACAGAATGAAAATACATTGTTGTTTCAAATACTACGTTAGGAATGAATGTGATTTTGGATATATAGATAGATAGATAGATAGATAGATAGGAATACACCTAGATAGATAGATAGATAGATAGATAGATAGATAGATAGATAGATAGATAGATAGATAGATGTGACACAATTAGATAGGGAAAGACTGAGAAAGTAAGAATGTTAAAGAGGTCAAACTGACAATGGAAAGACAGAAAATTAAATAATAAAAAGGAAAACAAAGTTAAAAGAAATAAATATACATACTGATTAACACGTTTTTTACGGTTTTCAACCCGATTCAGGTTATTTAAAGCCAGGAAATATTTTAAGATTTTAAGAATTTTTTTTGAGATAATAATGACTTTAGTGATATAAATTTTGCCAATTAACCCATAGCTGGGAAAGAAGAGTTTTTTTTTTTCATATAATTCCCAAGGGAAGTTGTGCATAAGTGTATATAACGAACCCAACGGGAATTGAAACTCGACGCTACGATTAACAATTCCGACCCATTAAAAAACTCGGTATTTCTAAGCAGTCATCAATCCAGGTACTGAGGTACTGACCAGAGGTGACGTTACTTAACTTCGGTGATCGTAGTGGAAATGTGATGAGGCCGTAAGCCAAAACACACACACACACGCATATATATATATATATATATATATATATATATATATATATATATGTATTAAATTAACTGGTTTAAAATATGGTTTTTCCCTACACTGTAATAACCATGTTTCAAAAACTGAAGTTAAAAAAACTTCAAATTTAATTATATAATTAAATTTAAAGCGTTAGTTCTGTTTCATCTTCAATCGAATTTTGGAATAACTTATTTTGAAATTTACTGAGTTTTAATTTATGCGCTGTAAATTTACATTGAGCACTGTTTTGTAAAACAAAAAAATATCAATAAGAACACCGGATTATATATCTTACTGTTCCTTCTTTCTTTATATATATATATATATATATATATATATATATATATATATATATATATATATATATATATATTTAAATAAATAATTATATTTATGCTCTACTTTTGTATCGAGCACTATTTTTAAAATAATAACAAAATACTAAAGAACTTTGGATTATTTACCAAAGTAATTCTTTCCTATTTTCTATATATTTTCACACATACATATATATATATATATATATATATATATATATATATATATATATATATATATATATATATATATACATAACATAACAGCAAAGTTACGCAAATCTTATAGCGGCATAATTTTCCATCCCACAAAATGTTTAATATCTAAAAAAAAAAAAATAAATGCGTTTCTTTTTCCAAATTTTCAGATAAGACTTTTAGCCATCTTCATACCATTTGTCGTAAGAATCACTCAAAAGCACTTTGAGTTATTCAGCTAGAAAGAGAATAAGTTAAAATCGTTTTCTGTTAGCCTCACTCTCTTCACAACTGATCAATGTTGAGAGGAAAAAGATCATTCCAACCTTCAGTAATAGTACCAACATTCATACTCTGGTTTCCATCTTCAAAGATTCATTCAAGAATCATCAAGTGAACAGCGAATTAGTTTAAAAAAGAGGAAACAGTAGCGAGGAAAACTGGATCAGGTGGTCACAATAGAAAGATGGACCATCATTTCAACTTAGAGTTAAAGCTTCAAATTAGAAAAGATCCAACTCAAGACATTTTGAACGTGAGAGACGGGTCTCAGCAATGACAACACAAAGCATTAAAAAAGACTTGAACTGAAATCGTATGTAAAACCTGTGTGGCAACTTGTTACACAAGGACAGAAAGTTAGAAGTTTAGAGATGGCGAATATCATCTTGAATATGTTAAAAAATGATCCTTGAATAATATATATATATATATATATATATATATATATATATATATATACACGTTTCATTAAATAATATAGACAAGTGTTGTCTATTTATTTTATATAAATTTTTTTCGTAACGTCTGATAAGTTTAATAAAATTATCGTTGAACGAAGAAAGAAATTCACAATATTGATCCATATTTTTTAATACAATCAAAGCCTTCGGCTTACTTAAGCCATTAACAAAGATGTCAATTACTGTACAATATATTAAGCAATATACAGACAAGACAGTGATGATAGTCTGTCATTGTTTACATAGATGATTTCTAAGCAACGATAAACATATGCATATAAGACGCTAGAAGCGAAAATCGCACCGCATCTCATGACGTCACACATGACCACACGAGAGTGAATTGGAGAAGTATGAAATATGGAAAGCCGTTGGTATAAACCAATGGCTTCTCTTACCAATTATAGATATTAAAGAATATTTGTAGAGATGACATAATTGATTTTGCTTAGGTTGGGTTTCAACTGTTTGATGTATAATGCTTCAAGGATTTTAAGCTTTTTGTCTATCGTTTTCATGTCTAAGTATAATTGTGTTTTCGACAAGTGTTTTACGGAATTGTGTGTGCAGGCAGCCATGTTGTTTTAAATGCCTAAATATATATATATATATATATATATATATATATATATATATATATATATATATATAGAGAGAGAGAGAGAGAGAGAGAGAGAGAGAGAGAGAGAGAGAGACTTGATATAAAGTCTCTACTCACCTTCCGATCCTTAGCTATGATTAATTAATGAAGAATAAAATCTTCCCCTACCATCCCTTATTCTAATATACAAACTTCTTTTTTGTTCCCTATTTCTTTCTCTCCAATAATTTAACCATATCCTACAATTTTTTAAGGTCAAGGTAAAATCGCTACTTCTTTTTTTTTTTTTTTTTTTTACTTTTATTGTTTATTTGTATTATTTATTTTTAGCTATTTTTTTAAACGTCTGATGTAATATTATATTTTCTGGCTGAATTTATATCATTTAATAAGATTTAGTCGGTCTCGTAAGGCCGGTATATGTATGACTGTTGAAATTATTTTATAACGGATTATATAACTGTTTACTCGTTACCCATTGCCTGATGACAAGGCACCTATAACAAAAAATACGTTCATATAATCATAAATAAATAATAATTGACTGATTTGTTCATTCATCCATTAATTTTCTACAACTTATTAACATTTTTCAGGTTATTAACAGCCAGAAAATATTTTTACTGTGTAAAACATTTTTTTACAGATAATAATGGATTAGTGATAAAAGTCTCACTGTTTAATCCATAGCTGGGGAACACATTTCCCAAGGACATTTGTGCGTAAGTGAATATAACGATCCCAACGGAAATCGGCTCTCCGATTATTATTCCGAGCATTTATCCATTACACCACACGCACATCCAAGCTTTCAGAACATTGTGTTCCTATCCAGTTACCCATGTAGGTACCGGCAAAGCTCGACGTTGCTTAACTTCGGTGATTATACCGGGGCCGGTATTTCGACTAGATGTGACCGTATACCCCTCAGAAACCAAACAAAAAAGCACCTTATGTTCGAGGCGGCAATAACGTGTACCAATCGGTTATTTCCGATTGTACGTATTGAAGTAGAATTTACAAGCCGAAGAGCCCTTGTATCTTAAGAATTCATTTCTATCTGATGAGGTTAATTCGCTTTCACCCCAAACAACATAAATATTTATAACACAGCGGAACAGTGAAAATCGTTATTTCAAAGTCAAGTCAATCAATCGCCCATCGTAACGATGATTTCATGAAAGGCGATAAGTTAAATAGATTTGTAAACATTCACATGAAGTCACCCACCTATAAAGACCTGGGAAATGTGTCTTTATTTGTAAGCGCCTCGGGGAAGAAAAAATATAATTTAATGATCTCAGTTTTTCCTATGTTCTTGCAAATCGAAAAAAAGTAATATTTATGCAAATAACCTAAACTTAAAAAAAAAAATTGTCGGCTTGTATTTTGGAAAAACAAAACTAAAAACAAATTTTAAAATAAAAATGTCTTAAAATAATTGTCGGACTTTGTCCATTTCATAATGTGTGATGCTATTCGTTTATATTTGGATACGCATCGAGCAGATATGAATATACGTGAGAGATTCATGGAAGATTGTAGTTTAAAAGGAGTAAAATCGACCTTGCTAACCGAACGATCCTCAGTGGCCTAATCGTTTAAGGCACGTCAAGCTATATGACGGTTCCGTATCGGATACAGGATCGATTCTTGTCGGAGGACGAATATTTTCTATGAAAATTTCTCGGACATTAATACTGTTTATTATAAACAGATCATTTACTTAAATATTTGTATCTACAAAAAGAATGTGTAAATATCTTAACATTATGTAGCAATATTTATCAACGATATATGATACTATGATCACTTTTCTTCTTGAAACTATATACCCACAGTAGAATATAGAATCATAGCCTTACCATGCAAAGTGTTATTGCTTGGGTAGTTCTAAAAGTTGAAGTTGCTTGTACAACAGCCGGACTTAAATTCAGAAATTATATTCTCTTAAAATGGTTCTAAGCAAAATTAGGACATAGAATTTATTCTGTTGTTTAATCCATAGCTGACGGAAGAAAATATGGATTCATACATTTTTCAAGGTCATTAGTGTGAAAGTCAATGAAACTTCTGATCCGGCGTCGATAACCACTGCGTGAACATCCAGAACTATGATATTATTGGTAGAATGATGATTACCAGACATTCAGGCTGTATAGTCAGGTGCCCGTCATGCTTTGCCATGTTCAGTAATCCAAATACCCGCTTCTGAAGCTAGTATCACATAAACCAAGGGGATATGTTGTCATTCCACGTGTAAATGCTTACACTGTCAAATAAGGCGACATTCTTAACGAAGTAATTCTTTAAAAATATTGTGAAACATTTTTTACAGAGATTATCCCCCACAAAATACACACAATGGAGAATATGAAGAAATGGGGAAGAAATATTTTTTTTTACATTTTATACTAATGTTTATCAAATACAAGAGCCACTCAAGGTAGAGGGTTACTGTGTGTGCGTAAGAATAGAAAAGAAGTTCAGATCATGAGGATATACAAGAAAGATGACGGTTAACCTTTGACTTTAGCACGTCAGAAAACTTAACGAGAGTCTAGCGTTGTTCCGTCTGTAGGAAAAGATTTGGACACTGGAATATAAATATTTACCCAAAATACCGCGTGTACGCTTTTGAATATCAAGACAGA